ATTACATTTTTAATTTCACCAGACTTAAATTTTATTTTTATAATAAAGGCATAATGGTGTTTTAAAAACAGAGGGTGTTATTATTATTATTATTATTATTATTATTATTGCATGTACAGAGGGTTGATAAAAGGCATCCACATAAAACCTATAGCTAACATCATACTTAATGTTCAAAGACTGAATGCTGTTCCCCCTAGGTCAGACCAAGGCAAGAGTGTACACTCTCATACTCCTATTCAACACAGTACTAGAAGTCCTAGGCTGTGCTATAAGAAAAGATAAATAAAAGGCATACTTCTGGAAAGGAAGAAATAAATTTGTCCCTATACTTAGATGATGTGATTGTCTATGTAAAAAAATCCAGGGGGAAAAAAACCTTCTAAAACTAATAAGTGCATTAGAAAGTTCATAAGATATAAGGTGTTTTGAGAGGCAATTCTGGGGTACCTCACTGGCTCAGGCAGATGAGCATGAGACTCTTGATCTTGGGGTCATGAGTTCAAGCCCCACGTTGGGTATACAGATTACTTAAAAAAAAAAAGAAAGAAAGAAAAAGAGAGGTAATTCTGCTTGGATTTCTCACTATTCTGTGCATCTTTCAGGCAGAGGCCCTTACAGTTTTTGATCTGGACTGTCTTTTCAAAGATCTTGTGCAGCTGGTGTTGTATAGGATTGCTGGTGTCAGCAATGAGGATCTAGAGCTTTTAGAGGATCAAAAACATTAGACATTCATTTGGTTCAGTTCCAAGCAGCCACCACTCTGCTCAGAACAAAATGTAATATAAAGCCTTGTTTATTGGTATATAGCTGCTCTTTCCCTTCTCATCCCTGCTCCCTCTCTTCCCATCCATTCCCTCTACCCAGATGCTTTAAAAAAAAGACCAAGGTTTGGTCGAAGGTCCTCCTCTCTTCAAGAGGAATATATAAGTCTATATGTATCTACCTGAATATGCTAGGGAATCTCAAGAGTGAGAGACTCAAATTTTTAGGAGAGAGCACCCACATCAATTGATGGGAGTCTGGACATGGTTCATCATGCAGGAAGGAAGCTAAAGTGACCTTACAGGAGGGGTCCTCTCAATTGATTCAGCTACTACTGTTTTTACATCTGATTGTTATGTAGGAACAGATGGGTTGTATGCTGGAACGTCCCCATCCTACAAGCGCCAGAGGGCATCATCCCAAAAAGAAAGCCTCACATAAAAATGTGCTAGTGGGACAAACTCTTCTACCATTTGCTACCAGTGGGTGGGTTAGAATTTAATGCAAATGCCTCACCCTCTCATGCCCAAAAGCATTCACTATAGGGATGATGTGCATTTGGGGGGTTGGCCAGTTAGAAGCCTCAACTTCAATGGCCTTGATGGGGAGTAACACATCCCTTCTAATAGAGAAGGCTGGTAAATCCCAATAAGAGTCGGGGGCTTGGTAACAAGTAAAGTTTTTTGGAACTGTGGATCAAATAAACAGAGTCACAGGGCTCAATCCTCCTGAAAGTCAAGGAAAAACTGCTGTCTCTTTGCTTCCCTCTCCCAAAATGGAAGCCTTATTCTGCTCTTTGGAAGCTGGGGATATACATGCTTCACTTGGGCATTCTGCTTGGTCCTTTATACTGGCTAACCCATAAACTGATACAGTTTGAGTGTAGTGCAAAACAACAGACTTCACTGGAAGCTGTACAGCAGGCTGTGGCACGCTCGCTACCTAGGGGGCTCCATATCTCTAATAACCACTTTGAACCAAAAGTCTCTGTGACTGATTTTTGGATGACTCAACTCAAACTCTATGACTGAAAATGTGAACAGGGCTCACAAAACCTTGCTACATTATCAAACGTAAATGATATGTTCAAGAACAGCCAGCCTGGCCCCACAGACATCCAGGCTTCACAGAAAAAAAGAGGCAGCTATCTCTCTGAGGAAAGTTTTGCCATCCACTCAGTCATGTGAGCTATTTTACTGGCTCATTGGACCCTCAATTCACAGATTCCCCTAAATTCTGAGCCTGGTTTGGCTAAGCAAAAACTCAGTAGTTTTCACTGGACTGCAGCCACTGTCCAACCTCAGTGCCAGCACTGCAACACCAAAAATGGACATGGCACCTGCACCCAGAGGAGAGAACTCAAGGTCCTTCTCAGAGCTCTGGCTAATACTGCCTGATGAACCTTGCTTTGTGCTTACTGACTCGGGCTTTTTCCAATGGCCTAGATATCTGGTCTGCCACTTCGAAAACTACAGATTGGCAGATTAAAGAAACCCCTTTTTGAGGTCATGAACTGTAGAAACAAATTACAGCTGCTGACCTAACTCTCTGGGGCCCTCATGTAGACGCCCACAGAAAGGGCCCATTCTCTGATGAGACTGCTCAGAATCAAGCTGCTAATTGGGCCTGCACTGCTCTGGTTGCTACTATCCTCCTGCCTGCAGCCATCATCATACCAGACATGACAACACATCCACCATCACAAAAAAGGCACAGAGGGAAGGGCTCTGTTTCTGTGGAGGCTGCCTCTGCATTCCAGACCTGTGACTCCTGTCCAAAGTTGGCCTGGCTGTCTCCTGGCAGACTGACATTTAACATCCTCACCCCACCCCCTCCCACACCTCAGCCTATTTCTTGACGATGCCTCATCACTGATGACACTTTATCAGGTTATGGTGTTGTTGTTTTAGCCCAAGCACCCAACCACAGTCACGCTGTTGTGACCCCTGAGACCACTATGTGTCGCACGTGTTTGGTTTTCTGGACAATTTGCAACTTGACCATGATATATCATTTATCAAAAAAATTTATTCACAATGGGCTGACAAAGTATTCAATGGATCTTCTGTACTCCCTGCCATCTACACACATTTGGTATTCTTAAGCACTGAAACAGCCTCCATAAAAATCAACATGGAAAGGTTTTTGACCACTTCCCTGATATCCTGGTCTGCATACCTTACTAAGGCAGTTGGTCACTAAATGTGGCTATTCCTAGAAAAAGATCATTTCTTCTCTGCCACGTCCTGCGTAATGATCAGGATGGAATCTTGGCAGTTTCTTAAAAAATTAAGCATATGCTTACCATAGAGCCCAGCAAATCTAACTTCCAAATATGTACCCTAGAGAAATAAAAACTTGTGTTCACACAAATACCTGTATGTGAAAGTTTATAGTAGGCCTATACATACCTAAAACTAGAAACCCAAATGTCCTGCAATTGGTGAATGGGTAAAAATTACGGTATATTAATGTAATGAATATTATTTAGCAACAAAAGGGAACAAATTATTGCTAAATTAAACAACATGGATGAATCTCAAAGGTATTTTGCTAAGAAAAAAAGGTACCCTCAAAGGTTTCATTCTGCATGTTTCCATTAATATGACATTCATGAAACAACAAAACTACAGTGAGGAAGAACCAATATGGAGGTTGCCAGTGATTAAGGATGGGAGGATTGTGTGGCTAAAGTGGAGTAGTATGAAGGAATTTTGGGGGATAGTAAAACTGTTCTGTACTTGACTTAGCCCAGAGATTCATGACTCTGTACATATATTAAAATTCAAAGAAATGTATGCCAAAAGAAAAGTCAATTTTACTGAATGTTAATTGAAAAAAATAAAATAAAAAGTGGGGAGGACTATAGTCTTCAAAAATGTCAATTTTTAGGGGCGCCTGGGTGGCTCAGTCGTTAAACGTCTGCCTTCGGCTCAGGTCATGATCCCAGGGTCCTGGGATCGAGCCCCGCATCGGGCTCCCTGCTCCGTGGGAAGCCTGTTTCTCCCTCTCCCACTCCCCCTACTTGTGTTCCCCCTCTCACTGTGTCTCTCTCTGTCAAATAAATAAAATCTTTTAAAAAAAAAGTCAATTTTTAAATTCTTTTTTTAAACTGAGATATAACTCTCGTCATATAACATATATTAGTTTTCAGGTGTACAATATAATGATTTGCTATTTGTATATGTTGTGAAATGATCACCACAGTAAGTCTCATTAACATGTTACCATAGACAAAAACAATTATTTTCTTGTGATGAGAACTTTCAAGACCATTATTTTAGAAACTTTCAAATATGCAATATAGTATTATTAAATATAGTCACCATTCTGTACATTACATTCCCATGATAAATAATATCTTATAACTGGAAGTTTGTTCCTTTTGACCACTTTTACCCATTTTACCCACTCCCCCACCTCCTGTCCCTGGCAACCACCAATCTGTTCTCTGTATCTATGAGCTTGGTTGTTGGGGGGGTGGGTTGATAAAATGTCAAAAATATAAAAGAATTAACCAAAATGTCAATTTTATAAAAGACCAAGAAATGTCTGTGGAAATGTTCCAGATTAAAGATGACTAAAGAAACATGACAATTAAATGCAATATGACCCTAGATCAGATCTCATACTGGAAGTGGAAAAATATAGCTAGAATCCTTTATATTAATAGAACAAATATCACTGTAGTTGCAGGTCTAAGCTTACTCAAAACCTGGGAAAAAAAATGATTAGTGAACTCAAGTTCCATTCTGCTGACCCTTTCTTACATGAATTAATAGATTCAATTTAGTATTTATAGAGTGCCTGTTATATACAGGGCAACAGAAAGTCCTCTTTTCTCCAAGGGCTTCTCAAAGTCTTGAGTTTTTCTAATTCTACCTGCCAAACTATTTATTCACTCTTCTTTAATAGTTAGTTTGCTGCCATAGAAACATTAAAATGTTTGATGGCTTTTAGGAGTTAGTTGCTAGTTTTTTAAAAAGGTTGTCTGAGATTATTTTTCTAGTCCCCAAGAAAGTCACTCATTTTACAACACTGCACAATGTCCAGATTTATGGATATGTTCTCAAGTCAGCTCATTATAGAGAGATAATTTGTGTTTTTCTCAAGTTGGCAAACTTTTCCTCCCAAGACATGTATAATGCTGTTACAAGTAACAGTAAATCCCAATGCTAACTGGCTCACTTAATACAGATAATTTATAGACTCATTCATCATAGATTGATCAGCACTCCAGCTTTATTCTTCTGTGACTCTCTTGATTCTGCCTTTTTCTTGACAATTATTTTGTCCTCAGGCTACCTTCCATCATAGTGGCAAATGTCTACCAACAGCAATCAGGGCTGTATGTTTCTTCAATCATATTCAAAGAAAGAGAAAACATTATTACTAAATCAAAATATTAAACAGAAGTACCACATGTCACTGACTGTATACCTTACATCATGCACTTTCTGTGAATCAATCTCAGCCAAAGACTAGGTGCTACACACTATCAAAGAAGAACAGATGTTGCGGAGGACACTATACTGGCTACAATAATTGTTCTTTCTCTCTTAGTTATATATCTCTTTACTTAGTAATAATTAGCTACCATTTATTTGATACATACTGTAGGTTGCCTCTTCACATCCTTACAGCCAGATCAAACTCCAGGGAACTAAGTTGTATATTCCAATTACCTCAGTTAATGACCTTCGTTGAAAACATGAGGGGGAAGTAAGGATGACAGCAATTTCACCAACCAATCAGGACACAACAGCATCTTTGGCCACTGAAACAGCAAATCTAATGGTTGTGCCCTCAGAAGGATCCTTGCTCTCTTCTCCGGTTTGGTGTCTTCCCCCATCTCTGTCCCGACTGCCTGAGAGAGGCCGTCTCTTTTGCTTCCTACCACATCAGCATGAGTTCAGCGTCCTCTCGAGCAGAGCACCCTGGGGGGGCCTCCTCACAGACCCTAGAGCAAGAAATGCTTGTTTCAGGGGAAGCGCCATCCTTGGCTCCATCAGCTTCCTAGGGAGCTCACATGGCACCCTGCTGAACATCTGCCTAAGAAACCCCTCGAAATCAGCTGTCTGACAGGCACTCTGAGGATTCCCCTAAAGAGCAAGCAAGGTAACCGGCCTTTCGGGGGTGCCTACCCCCCAACAGTACTCCCATCATCTTCACAGGATTTTAAGATATGGAAAACGAGGCCCTGAGGGGTAATTTCCCCAATTCTCACAGCTAATAAATGGCAGTGGCAGGATTCAAACCTATCAGGGTTTGTGTCACTCAACACCAGGGTTTGACCCACCTCAAACCAGGGTTTGAACGTGCGAAAACCTCCCTCACCCCGGTTAGGCTGCAGCCGCAAGGCGGGAGTGGAAGGTGAGCTGGCAGCCGGAGGGGCGGGGCGCGTGCGGGCACCCGCCTCCCGGAGCAGAAGCGGAAGCGGAAGCGTCGCCGGTCTGTAGCTATGGAGACGCAGGGGGGTGGGGCCACCCCCCCTACCCCCGAAGAAGCGCGACCTTTAACCTGCAGCCGAGGGTACGTCAGAGGCGGCCGCAGACGGAAGTGCGGAGGAGGCAGCGGCTGGGCTGAGTGGTTCCCGGGCTGTGGGGCTTCGTGGGCACTGCGGGCCGGCCGCCATGGAGGTAACGCTGCCCAGGCGGCCGGACTGGGACCCGGGCCACCACCTCCCTGCCGGGCCTTCCCGCGCAGCGGTTTGGGATACGGGGATGGGCGCCGTGTGAGGGCTTGGCAGCCTCCGTTCCGCGCCCCGCAGCGCCGCGCTGCCCTGGTCTCCCTCTTGCCCCAGACTCAGCCCCTCGCGGTTATCTGGCCCCTTTACAGCCAGACAGTATACGATTTGTCACAGCGACAGATCGCCTCCTTCCCCAATTCTTTCTCACGTAGGAGTTTCCTACACTTGATTCCACGGAAAGGCTTTTACCTATAAAGGTTCCAGCGTTCCGTCTGGGATTAGGAAAAGAGTTCGGACACACCTGGGTTTGATTTTGTTTTGCAGGATCCTGTTCAAGATGGGATGGCTTCCCCAGCCACCCCTGGGACCGGGAAATCTAAGGTGAAGAGAATACAGTGCTTGACTAGCGGGCTCACCTAAGAGTGGAAGGGTGATGAATGGAGAACTTTGGCATGGGTCGGTGGGGTGGCCTATTTAAAAGAAATCCTTCTCCAAGGGATCTCAATTTTAGTTCACACAGTAACCAATCTGTTATTTATTCTTTTTGAAGTTTCCTGCTATGAAAAGAGTTGACTTGTTGTTTACTTCCTGCTCCTGGTTAGCGCTGCTGAGAGATTCTGCAATTCTTCACACATTAAACAAAGCAATCTAATTTACGAGGATTTATATAGTGTAGTGGAAAGAGCAGTGACATAAGTAGTAGGCCTCTCCTATGATGTAAAAAAAGAGAGTTGAATTAGGTAATATTTATGGTCCCATACAACATTTAATATTCAATGATTCTAAAAAGATGGTGGTTTATTGCTTGCATACTAAGTTTTTGGCACTTACCTGAACACTCAGTTACCGCATTTAAGCTTCATGGTAAGCTTAAATGATAAGACAGGTACTTTTATTATCCATATTTTACAGATGAGAAAACTGAGCCCCAAGGGTTAAGTAATTTCCCTGATTTCTTAAAAAGACTTAATGCACCCTGATTCGTCTTGTTACTGTAATTATGCTTACATGTTTTCATGTAGCTAAAGACTTATTTCAGCCTTGAATAGAATAATTTTACAGCTCCAAGGAACTTTAAGTAGAATTAGTCCCAGTCCCCTAATTTTACAATTAAATCAAAACGCAGAAAATGTCTTAACCTAAACAAGAATATATGTACGTAAGAAGATACGTGCTGTTTTTTTTTTACATTTCATAGTAATTGCTTAACTAGTAATTATTAAGTTACATTTGCTACTTTTTTTAAAAATGTGGTTTGGTTGACATAAAGATTTATTCAGTGGGATGTTTTTAGGAGGACATTATGGTTTTGTGTGTGTGTGTGTGTGTGTGTGTGTGTGTGTGTGTGGTATAATAGAAACATGAGTTATAACAAACTGGTAACATCATTACCTTTTTTCAGCTGGAAACATTGCCCAAGGAAGATCTTATCAAGTTTGCCAAGAAACAGATGATGCTAATACAGAAAGCTAAATCCCGATGTACAGGTATTGTGTTGAAAATATTCATCTTCACCACAATCTCATTGAAACATGGTTAAAAATAGTAGGTTTTTAATAGTATATTAGCTTATTTTGTTTACCAGTATATCCAATAAAATCATAATAATTATAGTGAAATCTATTACTATTTAACATTCGAACCATTTGCCTGTGGTGGGTTTTTTTTTTAACCATTTCACATCACTAAACTGCAGTTATCTTTGAATTATTAAAATAAAATCAGGGAAAAGGATCTTAAATAAATTGTTAAAATTAAGCACTTTTTTTTTTACTTCATTTGGATTGTATATTGATCTGAAAAAGCATTTTTTTTTCCTAGAGCAATCAGTTGAAATGTTAGAGACATAGGTTGTGAGCCCAAAGGGGTAAAAAGAGGCCTCAAATAAAGTAATAAAAGATTTCCATTCCTGGAATGTTGAAGTATATTTATTTGCTGAAGTTGATTGATTGCCTGTTCACCTTTATATTCCAAAAGGATGTAGATATTAGTATCCTTTTTAATACATGTGGTGAGGCCATGAATTTCCGGTGACTAACAAATGCTAACTGCCCAGCCTAAAAGCCAAGATTTATGTTCTACTAGAAAAGGTCAAATTGTGTTTAGGGAGATTGGATCAGCTTGTGAGAAAGAGAGTAATGTATTTGGAAAGGTGTTCTAGGCTCCAGACCTAAACATGAGTTAATGAAATAGGTTAGCATTTATGCTTAACGTGAGGTTAGTTGTTGCTTTAAGATTGTACAGTAAGAAGTTATTTACAGCTAAAATACTATGTCTGGGATTTGCTACAAAAATATCAGGATGGGTAAGTAAAAAGGAAAAGGGAGAAGTGTCGGGATGATACAAGAGTCCGTGTAATAATTGCTGAATTAAGGTGATGGGTGTATTATTCATACTGTTCTTTCTATTTTTCTTTTTTTTTTAATTTTTTATTGTTATGTTAATCACCCTACATTACATCATTAGGCTTTCTACTTTTCTTATTTGTCTGGAGTTTTCCATAAGAAAAAGGAAAATAAAAGGTAATACTGGGTAAAGTTAATACTTTCTCAAAATATTTGCTGCTTAAATGTATTCTAATTTGTAGTGGGTTTTTTTTTTTTAAGAATGTACTTATCACTCTAGACAATAATTATTTTCTTCATTTCTGAACTGGAATTTTTTTAATAATTATTTAGAATTGGAGAAAGAAATTGAGGAATTGAAATCAAAACCTGTTGCTGGAGGAACTGATGATATTATTAAGGTAATGCAACAGTTGAAAATATTGCTTTAATTTTTATGTATGTACTTAGAGGAAATGTCTAATGACAAATCAAATTTCCTTTAAAGCTGTCAGTTTGCCAGAGCCCTGTCTGGCTTTCTGTCCCTGTTTTTCCACTTCTCCCTGCCCTTGGTTAAGTTTTTTACCTGTCTGGTTGCCTGTAAAAAGAGTTAAATGACCTCTCCATCCCTTTCTGTTCTAAAATGAGTATTCCTCTCTCTTGTCTTCATCCCACACACTCTGTCATTAGAGGGTTGCCTTAATCACAGCCCTGTTCTTCCCTCTCCCCCTCAGAAAACCCATGCTCAGGACTTCGATGATGATTTTTAGGCTGAAAGATACATATAATCTGTTAATAGACATATATCCCTGGATGTGACTACTGACCTTTCGAGCTGTTTGAGGAAAGAAATATTCACCCATTTTTCTTGTCTTCATATTCATATTCAGACCAAATCCCCTTGCCTGGACAACCAGTGGCAGCCCTGTTTTTCAAGACTTAACTTTAGAGACTTTTCAGTTTTCCTGTTTCCCTTATCCTCTACATGTGTCAGCCACCAGTGACTTCTAGTTCCTTCAGGATAATGCTGTAGTTTATCAGTATGCTTTCTCCATATCCATGGCTGTGTGGTAAATGCCTCATGTCATACTTGACTTTTTTTGATACCTCCCTAACCAGGCTCTCTTCTCTTTTCAGTTTTACATGCTCTTACTAGATCATAGGGTACTGTTTTTATTTTGTTATTCCCTGTCAAAGAAGCTGAATTGGTTATTCTTATTTACATGCCCTTAATGCTGACTAAATGCCTCCCCCACCCCTAGCTTGGCCTAACCTTCTTTAGAGTTTCTTTTACTTCTCAAAGCTCTGCAGTAATCTTTTTCCTTTTCTGTATTTATAATTTGAGTCTTGATGTCTGTTCTTTGATTATAAGTTTATAAATTATCTTACTTTCTTACTAGGGGGCTCCCAACTTGTGAGCAGTATACAATTGAAGGACTCCCAGAGAGTTACTGTAAGAGAGCTTTAAATCCCCATACATATCTCACATGATTGCTTTGTTCTTTATTTAGCTAAGACAGTATAGAAAGCAGGCATAGTGTGCACAAATACCATTTGGATTCACAGTGTACTGATTTACTTAGTATTAGTGAATTCATAGTAGCTTTCTTTGCTTATTTGGTCATTTTGTATTTTATTAATCAGTGATAGCTGAAGTAAAACTACTTGATATTTACCTAAGAGTATTGACTCTAGAGCCAGACACCCTGATTCAGATCTTTGGGTCCCTGCTCTGCCACGTACTACCTACGTGGCCATACCTAAGTTTCTTTCCTTTCAGTTCCTTCACCTGTAGACTAGAAAAATAATAATAATACCTACTGCTCATAGAGGTGTTGTATTTTGAGTTAATACATGCTTAGAACTTAAAATTGCATCAGTCACATAAGTTCTCAATAACTTATTGTAGGGACGCCTAGGTGGCTCATTCTGTTAAGTGTCTGCCTTCGGCTTGGGTCATGATCCCAGGGTGCTGGGATCGAGTCCCGCATCAGGCTCCCTGCTCAGGCGGGAGCCTGCCACTCCCTCTCCCCGCTTCCCCTGTTTGCACTCCCCTCCTTTGCTTGTACTATCTCTTGCTATCTCTCTCTCTCAAATAAAATCTTTTAAAAAAAAAAATAAAAGGGCACCTGGGTGGCTCAGTTGATTAAGCGACTGCCTTCAGCTCAGGTCATGATCCTGGAGTCCCGGGATCGAGTCCCACATCGGGCTCCCTGCTTAGCAGGGAGTCTGCTTCTCCCTCTGACCCTCCCCCCCTTGTGCTCTCTCTCTCATTCTCTCTCTCTCTCAAATAAATAAATAAAATCTTTAAAAAAATTTTTAAAAAATTAAAA